ACTATAAATTTACATAATAATTTTACATTTGTAGAGATTAACATTTATATTAACATAAATTTCAAACAGAAAAAAGAGAAAGCAGAAAATACTAGAAGAAAACATAGGATGACTTTATTTTTTTCTTGAAACAATGAAGGCTTTTTTTTAAAAAATTTTATTTATTTATTTGACAGAGAGAGACACAGTGAGAGAGGGAACACAGCAGGGGGAGTGGGAGAGGGAGAAGCAGGCTCCCCGCTGAGCAGGGACCCCGATGTGGGGCTTGATCCCAGGACCCTGGGATCATGACCCGAGCCGAAGGCAGACGCTGAACGACTAAGCCACCCAGGTGCCCCAACAATGAAGGCTTTTTAAAAAAAGACTTTTCCCAAACAGACAAAAGCCATTTTTTAAAAAGACTGGTTAATTTGACTACATAACAAATAATTTTTGGTGATAATGTCACAAGACAAAAGGCATACTGGGAAAAGTTATTACCCAAAACTAAATAGACAGTGACAAATGATGGAAGCAGGTTTGGATTCTCCTGAGACTTTTGACCTCACATGGCCTTTTCTGTGTGTGTGCGCGAGCGCACGTTTCCTTTGGTGTCTCTTCCTCTTTTTTTTTTTTTTTTTTTAAATGTAGGCTTCATGCCCAGCATGGAGCCCAACACGGGGCTTGAACTCATGACCCTGATATCAAGACCTGAGTTGAGTTCAAGAGTCGGATACTTAACCAACTGAGATACCCAGGTGCCCCTCTTCTTTTTATAAGGGTACATATTGGATTAGGTCCAAGAGTAGTCATATTAGATCCTGTGCCTACCCATATGACCTCATTTAACCTTAATTACCTCTTTACAGGCTTATCTCCAAATACAGTTACAATCCAAGCTACTGAGGGTTAGAGCTTCAATATATGCATTGGGTGGGTGCGGGGAAACAATTCAGTCTATTACACCTTTGATTCGGCAATGGCATCCTTTTTCCCTCCCCATCAACTTATTTCTGGTGCCAAGTGACCATAGAGTATCAGGATCTGGTCTCTGATTCTTCACCTTTATGTCAGGATGCCCAGAGAGTCGATTCAGTCACAGGGCTAGTTGAGTCACAGAGCAAAAAGTCTGTAGACCTTTTAAGCCATTTCTGACTGGGTGGCTATAGCAATAACTTGGCCTTATATCAAAGGGACTGCAAAACACAAAACTGTATTATAACAAATCTCTATGAAATGTATCCTTAGCTCAACTTCCTCTTAGCAGGATCCCCAAAAACATTCACAGCATGCCATCTGACATGTGGGAAAGTGAGATGCAAGAGCAGTTGGAGTAGAAATAAATGGTCATATTAAATAATTCCAGTTAAAATGTTTACTTTAGCAAATTTTACAAAAACATATGTTAAATGAACATACTACTAGTTCCTGTCCCAGAGCCTTAGAATGTGCATCTGTACCAGGCAGGGATCCAACTTCCCCTCCTCATGAGACGGGTCTCTTTCTGTGTTGAATGGGGTGCCTGCATTTGGAGTGAGAACATGGTGTATTAAGTTGGGGAGCATCTGCTTTTGTCTTAAAGAATAAGTATGAAGAAAGGTTGCCTGTCATAGTGGGGAGGACTAGAGTGGCTATTCTTGCCATATTTTGAAGACCCTTCGGTATTTGGGGAGATTTTCACATTACGAATCCTGCCTTCTCCCTTCGAGTTCAGAACTCAAACACTCAGCCTGTCTTGAAGCTAGCAGTAAGGAGGCGCTCTCGCCTTGGACACCCCACGGGGAGGGAGACTGACTCGGAGAGCAGAGGAGCAGCGCCCCCATTTGGCTGGAGAAGGTGGCAGCAGGGATTGCAAGGACAAGTTGCTGGCCCACAGGTGGCCCCGGGGCTGGAGGCAGTAGCGGACGCAGGGCACCAAGGCCCTGGCATCTCCTGCTTGGTGGCGGAGGCATCAGTGGTATCTATATGCGGTGAGTTTACTGCAGGAACCCTGGTGTTCCTGAAAGTTTATCCTTGAGTCCGTTTTTTCAACAATCCCAAGTAGTACCTAATAACTTTTAAGTGCTTATTTTCCTGCTTAAGCTAGCCAGACCGGATTTTGTTGTTTGCAACATTTGGACACGACATTTTCGCATATGTAAAACGCTCACCCCAACTTACAATAAAACAAGTACAAGGTAAACTGTAAATGCATGCTGTTTGTCAACTGTCAGATGGACAAAGATAGATATTTTAATTTGCTGGCATTGATATGCGGAAACAGGCCCTCTCATTTATTACTGTTTGATACAATGTTTTCTTCAAAAATAATTTTTTAAAATTAAATACTGCCGTCTGTAAGAGATAACCCACATCCACATTCCCATTCTCATTTTCACACCTTTCTAGTACCCTGTCACACACTTTTCACTCAACAACACCTTATTATCTTAAAAGAAAAAAAAGATTTTATAGCATTATTCTACAAACGCAAGTTTTAGGGAAAAAAAGAAAAAAATGTATTTCCTAACTGATTCTCTAATAAGTAAAAAACAGAGCACGCAAGAAGTACTATTTTTTTTTTTAAGATACTGCAGGAAATACAAAGACTTATAGAACTATTTTGAGATACTGAAAAGAGTTGTAATGGGGTTGGGAAAGAAGATATAATCACATAACAAGCTGAATACTAATAAAATATTTAAATGTAACTTGAAGCCAACAATGAAGATCAAGTTACAAGGCTATAAATTATTAATTGTCAAACAATCCTAGGGACAGTATGAGTTCACAGGGACATGTTTGGATAATATAGTGTGGTGACACAAGCTACCCTAAAATTTAGTGGCTTAAAACAAGTGTTATCTCTCATTTGTGTGGGCCAGGAGTTCAGGCAGGGCTCAGCTGGGCAATTCTCCTCCAAGGAGTATCAGCTGGGATCTGGGATCGCTGCATGGTACTCAGCCTTGCCTGAGGCTCCAAGAAGAGACTCAGAAATCTAGTATCTTGCTGCTCTTTGGCCTCTCCCCATGTCATCTCACTGTTTCTGTCTCTCTATGTGGTTTGGGTTTCTCACGGCATGTTGATCTCAAGGTAGTCATACTTTCCTGGCAGCTGTCTTGTAAGAACAAGGAGGAAGGAAATGGATGCTCTTGTGGTTTCGTTCGGGATACTTACACAATGTTACTGTTGCAATATCCGATAGGTCAGAGAGGTCACAGAGACCACCCAGCTTGAAGAGAGGAGCCACAGGACCCTCTTTTCCCCTCATGATAAGGACAGTATCAGTGTATTTGTGGCCATATTTAACTCATCATGCAAGGAAAGGTCAGTTTGGACTAGAAAGGTCAGAAAAAGCCATACAAGGAAGGTATCATATAAGCTGGTTTTAAAGAATATAGAACATTTGAAACAATGAAGTGAAGTTGGGATAAGGACAAAAATATTAATATTAAATATCTAAAAATAAAACAGTTAACAATGGGGAGAACACGTTCAAAATGCTTAGCAAACCAAGAATTATATTTCTTTCTCAATTTATTTTGCTGCAACAACAAAAGCGACAGTGGGAATTAGCCTCAGCTTGGGCAAGTCACTTTTCCCTAATTTATGAACACATTGATTCAAGTGAGAAGATGATTTTTCTTTAAATGAGGTCACCTTATTTGAAGTAAAGTGAATCTGAGCTTATAGGACCAACTGGGGAAGGTCACTTAGTGTTCAGCTTGTTTGGAGACGTGCTCACTGTTAAAACTCAGAAGGTATAGACAAATGATTGTAGTTAATCCTGAGACAGGATGAAGGGCAGCAATTTTTTTTCTTTTTAAGATTTTATTTGTTTATTTGAAAAGAGAGTGAGAGAGAGCACAAGCAGGGGGTGGGGGGGGAAGGGGGGGGGGAAAGGGGAAGAGGGAGAAGCAGACTTCCCTGCTAAGCAGAGAGTCCCACGCAGGGCTGGATCCTAGGACCGCGGGTTCATGACCTGAGCAGAAGGCAGCGGCTTAACCAAAATGAACCACTCAGCCTTTTTTTTTTTTGACACTGATATGCAATGAATTTATGAATATCAAACCTGGCATTCTAAAAACAAAGGGAGAGGGTACAAGACCTAGGAGAAGTGCTTTAAAAAAATCTTTGAATATGTTATAACACCCTGGAGAATCATCAGATCTTACTGCTCTTTTATGTTAGAACATAGATTTCTCCTCCCCTCTCTGATAGCTTTTGGTTTTATTTGGTCGGGAGCACTGAAAATTCCAAGCTACAGCCTGGCGTGGTAGGAGACAGCATTATTTTTAAACAGTGTTTCTAGTTTGAAGGTCAACAGGCTTGTGTCCTTTACACAGTTATCTACTTTGGGTAGTTTTTGTTTCTTGACCTCTAGGTGGCTCCTTAAAAGCTGTGAGGCTAAGCAAACAATAGGAAAAGAAAAACAGACCCTGTGGGGCCTTGGGACTCCGAAGCCTTAATCTAGAGAGAACCGGTTAAGCCTTCAGAGACTTGAGGGGAAGGTGTGTGCGTTTGGTAGGGAGAGCCGAGAAAGAGCCGTCCAGGACGCAGGGCAGCTGGATAGCGCCTTCCACCTGCGCAAGCATAAATCTCCTTAGTAACCCCGGGATGTCCCGGGGGGAGGGTGCGGAAAAGTGTTCTCCATCCTCTCATCTGTCCCATCAGAGTGAATAAGTGAACCCTGCCTCAGACGAACCGCAAAGGATAGTCTGCAGACATACATATATATGCACACACATTAGGAGTTTCAAGCTCTCCTGCAGGAGACGAGCTAGACAGCACCTGCCGCGTCTTTAGCAAGCTCCCGCCCAGACCTGCTAGAGCCGGGAGGGCGGAAGCAGGAGAGGATGCGGCGCGGAGGTGGCTACTGCACATCGCTGCGCGCCCGCTGCGGTCAGCCTGCTGCATAATTGATGGAGGACTGGGCGCAGTCCTGGGTCGGCTTCAGGCGCCGTGAGAGTGTCTCAGGGGAGGAGGGCAGGGCAGCCGGGCCCCTCCCACTCTGCCCTCTGTCGCGTGTCCCGCCCCCGGGACAGGCAGCAGGCGCCGGGCCACCCGCGAGTGTGCGCAGAAACTTCGGCCACCTACGGCTGTGCGCGAGGAGCGCGGCTGACCCGCCGGCGCCATGCGCGCCCTGCCTGGCCTGCGGGGGCTCCGAGGGCCGCCGCCGCTGCAGCTACCGCTGCTCCTCCTGTGCCTCCTCGCGGCGGTGCGCCGGAGCTGGGCGGACGGCAATACCACAGGTGCGAAGCCTGCAGGGCCGAGTTGGGGGGGGGGGCGTGCGCAGGACGGGACGCGCGAGGCTGGGTCCCCGTAGGCTGAGGGCTTGGCCGACGCGCCGGGGCAGGGTTGGTGGGGAGAGGCGCGGGGAGGCTGGCGACGGCGGGTGGCCGGCGGCGGCCGCCTCCTCCCATTGGCCAGGCTTGGGTTGTCTCAGCTGGACGAGGAGACTGGAGCGGACAGGGATGGAATCTGGAACCAAGAGCGCCCCGCGAGTCGGGGGCGTTGGTAGTAGGGCAGTGTCTGGGTGTTCCAAGAAGGAGGGCGGCAGGGTGTGAGGGTGCGGGCGGGAGCAAGGTAGCGACTCGGTTTCCGCAAAAGCGGCAGGATTTCGGAAAGCCACATTCCCCAACGCCAGGTCCCTTCGCTTGAATTGATAGTAGGTTTAAATATCACCTCCCTGCCTTGCAGGTGGGTTGGCTTTGCTTTGAGGATGTTTTTTACAACTAAGTTGAAATAACAGCAAACCACAACCAGCTAACGAACCGAAGCCCACAACTCATTGGATATTGTGTGTGTGTGTGTGTGTGTGTATCTTCCTTTACACTATGGTCTTTGAAAGCGAATTTTTTGTGGTTATTGTTTTGACTGTTTAAGAAACTTTGAAAGAGGGATCTATGTGCAAAACATTACTAAAACCAACACCAAATTTGCCATTTTATCTTCACCTGTTTATAATTACCTTTTATGTTGAAAGTATCTCATCCAACCTACTTTCTAATGCAGGTTTTTGTGTTAACATATTCAACGTGTTAGCAGCTAATTAGGACAGTACACTGCCAATCAGGTTAGCAAATAGTGCCTATCAGCAACTAAAATTAAGATATTCTACACAAGATCTTCAAACTTTCATAGGAATTCACTCTTAAGAACTTATAGCATGTAGAGTTTTTGTAACATAAAGATGGTAAGATAATCCAAAGGATAGGATTATTCAATTTTTACAACTGTCCTTTAAAAGGCCTAGTTGTTAACATCTTGGACAAAACATTTTGGGTTGCTTCAGTTCCTAAATTTCCTTGTCCCACTTCCTAGCCACATACCTCTTTTTCATTCATACTAACAAAGAATGGTCAAGGACTTGGGGCTATTTCTAGATTTACTCCTCTTTCACTTAAGACTGTTGCAGCTCTGAGGACCATTGCATTCTGGGTGAGTTCTAGAACTGGGTTTCTCCAGTTGGTTCTATGTTGGAATTATCTGGGAGCTTTAACATGGATCCTGCCCTCAAAATTTTTGATTCACTTGGCCAGGGATTTAGCCTGAACATCAGGTATTTTGAAAGCTCCCGTGTGATTTTAGTCACGTGATCCTAAGCAGGTTGAATACCACTGCTTTCAAATTATAATGGCCTAGAGAGTGCACATTGTGTGAATATTTACACTGTTGGTAGCTGGGAGTCAGGTTTAAACTGACATTCAGAGCAGAGTTCTAAAGAAAAAAGTAGGGAAGAAATGAAAGTGGAATAAATCAGCAAAGTTGTAAATAAATGGGATGATGTATGTAGGTATGGCAAGTGTCTGTGTGTGTATAGAGTGTGAGTCGGGCCTTTTAGCTCCACGTAAGTTAAAATTGTAGAATGATGTGCTGTATGAAAGTTATGAAGTTAGCATCTCATTTTAAGGCAGAATTAAAAATTGTGAAACAACCTTATCTCATTTTATAGACTGTATGGAGCTCTGTGACATTCAGTTTCCTCTTTGCTAAAGGCTATTCTGAAGTTTACTGGGTATTTTTTATCTAGGTGCTTTGAACTACTAGGAAATAGGTGTTCTATAAGCCTAAGACTTTGGGCCACATTTTAATAAAAATGTTATAATTTATCATCTTTACTATATAACAGCTATGTGCCAGGCATTGCACTGTGCAGTATATAACCCTATGGGTTAGCTTTTATTGTCCCTGACTTTCAGATGAGGACATTAGAATTTAGGGATATTAAATAATTGCCCAATTATATATAATTATTTAAGTAGTACAGCCAGAAACTTAGCATTGTTCAGTCTGACTCCAGTGCTTGTTTTCTTTATTTTTTTATATTTTTAAGTAAGCTCTTAGCCCAATATGGGGCTTGAACTCATGACCCTGAGATCAAGGGTTGTTTGCTCTACAGATTGAGACAGCCAGGTGCCCCCTCCAATGCCTGTTTTCTTAAACACAATACACAGTTGTCTCTCTGAGACAACTGGGTATGTCTATGAAAGTTTGGAACCACTGACAGAGCACGCTGTATGGATCTAAATGCTTGGTTGGAGCTGAAGGGCATACTAACACACTTGGAGTTCTCGAATAAAGTTAGGCACAGGGACTCACCTTAATTCTTTTAAGCTGTTTCAATTACGTAAGAAAGGTAAAGTAACTTTATAAAAGTAAATATTAGATAAGTGGGGATATTTAAACATCATTATTATTACTCTGAAGTAGAACAAATTGAGGGAAGGGGTCGTGTTTATCTTCTGAAAAATGTGTTTGCAGGGGAATCATTTGAAATGATCGTTGTAAGCTTCTGGAGGACATTGCTTATATATTCTCTTGATCAGCCACCTTCCTTTCTAGAGACACTCCCTGTACATACACAGCCACTGCCTAGCAATAAATATTTGTGAGAACAAATATTATTCAAGCACCCACACACTCTTGACATTGTGTTTGTAAGCAGAAAACTTCAGCAGTGTTTTAGCAGTTTCAAGTCATTTACATTGTTTAAAGGAACAGATTAGCCATAACCTTATCTTGAATGGAGTTATATCTGAAGCATCAAAATTGTGACCCTAAATTATCATCACATTTAAAATGACATACACATTTGTTAAGAATTAGTTCCACTGGCTCTTCCTCTTCCTGTTCTTTTGTCTCCACCTCTTGTCTCCATCTCCTTCTCTTTCTTCTGGGAATGGGTTCTATAGTCATTAGGTTGGGGAATGCAGGGAGGCAACCTCCCTCCCTTGTTGGAGGAAGACAGAGGGTCCCAGATCAGGGAATTAGAGGCTGAGCCGGGTCCGGAGGGCATCCAGGTAGGGGCATGGCCCCATGTGGAGTCCTAGAGCCTGAGCACAGTGAGGTGGGTCCTCCTGCAGAGGGCAGGGGGCCCTAGATCTCAGCCTCTGAGCTGAGCAGAGTGACAGAGGCTTCTACACAGGGGCAGCCCAACATGTGGTGTCTGATCCTGATCAGAGGGTGTGGGTTAAGCATGCAGAAGAGCAAGCCGTGGAGGATGTTGGAGCCTGAGTGGGTGTGGAAGACATTTCTTTGAGGTCAAGAGTGGCAGTGACAATGGGATATTAGTCGCATACAGGGAGACTGAGCAAATAAGTAAAGCTAGTAAGGATAATAGGATCCGGGTTTTTCCCTAGAGAAGAAGGGAATGGAAAACTAGAGTGAAGCTTGTGGTGTTGGATTGCAATTGACAGCACTGGCATAAATTCATGACTTTAGATCTCTCATGATCTTTCATGTCTATATATAAACAGATATAAATGTGTATATGTGTAAATGTATGTATAATGCATACATGTCACATATATTTACATATATGTGTGTGTATGAATATACATGCACGTATTAGCTCTGCCCACTGAGGTGGAGCAGTGATTTCCCAATAGTGATGAGTCAGATCTTGATCTTGATCTACATACCATTCTTTACTAATGGTAACTGGAGAAATAGCTGATTTTATGAATAGGGAGGAGAAAGTATAAGACAAGCCCTGAACCTCTTGTGCCAGAGAGCAATGAAGTGCTCAAAGAATGATGGGCCATGTCAAAAGGATACAAAAGCCAGAGGGCTCCCACTGAACAAGTCTAGGAAAAATTGAGCATCAACATAAATAATAATAATAATAATAAAATAAATAATACTAATGGACTTGTATGGATACTGATGGATACAAGTCCATTAGTATCCGCTGAATAATGCCCACTGAATAATACAGGTATTCATGAGTACATACCGATATAAATTAATTAAGTGAATCAATTGAAAGTTTGATGAGGCACAAAATAGTACCTAGTTTTAAAGTAAGTTCCCACAAATCTCATAAAGTAGTATTCATGAAAAGAGAAAAAGAACGACTTTATCATGGAGAAGCCTGGCAGACACCTCTTTAAACAAATGATCAAAGTAAAAACCATCAGCAAAGAGAGGAATAAAAATTATGGGCCATCTAATAGGATGCAATGAGAAGAATACAATATCACCTCTGTGATATATCTGCGAAAGGTCTCCTCCAAATCAAATTATATTACAACATCATCATACTGGATCTCTACTGGTCATAAGAGTCAAGAATGACTAAAGCTGAGACAGAGTGAAGGAGAGTAGAAGGGACATGGTAGCTGAGGGCAACATGTAATTCTGAACTGCAACCTTTGGCCGAAAAGTACATCTTCAGGACTTTTGTTGAAACTTCAGTGAGGTGTGGGATGAGATGGTAATGCATAAGTGTCAGTTTCCCAATGTTAATGGCTGTATTGAGATGAAGTGGAGGGGGTTAGGTCTTTCTGGGAATGTACAGTCATGTTTTAGAGGGGAATGAGTCATCAGGTCAGCAGCTTATTCTCAGGTGGTTCAGGGGAAGAATTTTTTTTTTTTTTTAAAGATTTTATTCATTTATTTGACAGACAGCACAAGCAGGGGGAGCAGCAGAGGGAGAGGAAGAAGCGGGCTCCCCGCGGAGAAAGGAGCCTGATGCGGGGCTCGATCCCAGGACTCTGGGATCATGACCCAAGCCGAGGGCAGACGTTTAACCGACTGAGCCACCCTGGCGCCCCGGGAAGAACTCTTTATTCTGTACTCAAAACTCTTTTGTTTGAGATCTTTTGAAAAGAAGCAAAAAGAATTTCAACTCTTTCTGAGAAAGCTTTACTTAACATAGACATTAAGCCATAATGAGAATTGAGAAACTGTCATCAGTTTATGTAACTAAGTACCATTTTCCAAAGGAGTATTCGTCCTCAAACAGATT